GGGCTAAAGCAGTGAACTATTTGTCTTTGTCAACGTGACACTTTTTACTGATTGGCCGTGTCGGGTGGTGGAGGGTTACGACACATTTATAAATAACGCGATCTAAACCCAAAAACGTTGATTATGAATAACATTGGTCGCGAAAGCCTATGTGTTAAACAAAAAGAAACAACTCTGATGATAATAATATGCACTGTCCTTGAAGTTGTCTCAGGTGTGGACCAATCAACTTCAAGGACAGTGCATATTATTATCATTATCAGAGTTGTTTATTTTTGTTTGCATTTTGACTTCTTGTGTTGTGGTTATTGCAAACATGATGCCTTGTATAAAGGTGTCAGTTTGTGTACCAGTTGAAAGGGTAAAACCCTACTGCTATATTTTGCCACTGCTAAAGGAGATGTCTCATAGTGCTGTCAATACCGGCGCTTGGCTCGGCTGCCCGGCAGCTCGTCCCTGAGAGCGCCCATCCCCAGGTGCCACATCTCGGCCAGGTCGAGAGCCAGGCTGAGGCACCCCACGGCATACATCACGTGCAGGAAGACGGTCTTCTCCGTGGGCCTCGACACGAAGCAGTCGACGAAGTGGACGCAGGGGTAGCGGCGGGGGCACACAAAGCGGGGGATCACCTCCAAGCCGTACATCACGTACTGGCCCAGAAGGAAGCCCGCTTCGGCCACCGTGCGCAGGACGAGCTGCAGCGCGTAGGCCCACATGAGGCCGTCGGCCCTGATAGCGCGACGCCCGTCGTGCCGTCTGTAGTCGTTCTTCTTGGCCTCGTCGGGAAACTCCCCTCCTTGATCGCCAGGCGAGCTCTCTGACCTGCGGATAACGACGCGGGAGTAAAAGTTAAACATCTCCTTCTCGCAAGAACAAAGAGCGGAATGAAGGTTTTTTTGGGGGACTTCGCCGTTCTTATCACGGTTATCGTCGTCGCCGTAACTTCACTAGGCCTAGTAGTAGGTTTTTACCCTTTCAACTGGTACAAAAACTGACACCTTTATACAAGGCATCATGTTTGCAATAACCACAACACAAGCAGTCAAAATGCAAACAAAAAGAAACAACTCTGATAATGATAATAATATGCACTGTCCTTGAAGTTGATTGGTCCAAACCCAAGACGGCTTTCTTTAGAGCCTAGTCTCCATTGGTGTTGGACCAGATGACACCAAAAGGCGCACAACTCAAAATGATGCCTTGTATAAAGGTGTCAGTTTTGTACCAGTTTAAAGGGTAAAAACCTACTACTATATTTTGCCACTGGTAAAGGAGATGTCTCATAGTGTAACTTCACTAGACCTCTGTATCCTGTGTATGGCGAAGGCGAGGTAGAGAATGCTGGGTGTCGCCACGGTGATAATCTGAAAGATCCAGAAGCGCACGTAGGACAGGGGAGCAAAGGTGTCGTAGCACATGTTCGTGCAGCCCGGCTGTTGGGAGTTGCACATGAACGAGCTCTGTTCATCGTGATAGATGGATTCGCCCGCCACGATCGTCAGCATGATGCGCAAGATCAGGAACGTGGTTAGCCAGAGCTTGCCCAGGTACGTCGAGTGCAAAGATATCTCCTCCAACAAACGGGTCAGGAAGTTCCAGCTCATTGTGACCACCAGCTCGCCAGAAGCGTGCCCACCTGAGGATTCAAGAAGAGAGACGCGGATTCAGACGGCACGTTGGCTGGCCGCGCGCCGCGTTCAGCTCTTTTGCTGCCTCGGGATACCGTCGATCATCATTGATTATCCGGCACGGCACGATAATCATCCGACATTATCCAGCGGTCCTGAGACGATCTACCGAAACTGGCAAAGCCGCTCCAAAGGCCGTAGCAAACCAGTCCCGGCGGTCGGTCCCATCGTGCAGCGTGACAACAACAAAGTAGCCACAGTAGTAGTAGGTTGTTACCCTTTCAACTGGTACAAAAACTGACACCTTTATACAAGGGATCATGTTTGCAATAACCACAACACAAGCAGTGAAAATGCTAATTATTTTTGTTTTCAGAGGGAAATTGAGTTTTCAGGTGCATACGGCGGACAGCCGTTTGGATACGAGCAGCAACAATTGTTTTGTGTCTTTGATTGTTTCTCCCTTGTGATGGGACTTTGCAGGACGAAAGTTGAGATTCACAAGGGCACGGGGTGACCATTAAGGTCTGACTTGGTCTGTAATAAGGGGTTGACAGCTATAACTATATGTAAGTGGAATGCTCAAGTGGTGGTAATCCAAGGAGACCCACACAAGGCACAGAGAATGTTTAGACTGCAGCAGGAGGATTCCGATGAGCTAGAAAGATCTTGAACCCACAGATGTCCAGTCGGGGGCATGTGGTAAGAGCGTTACAACAACACACTCCACACAGTTTAACACGTAGCAGGCTTTCGCGACCAATTTTATTCATAATCAACATTTTGGGATTAGATCGCGTTATTTATGTGTCGTAACCCTCCACCACCCGACACGGCCAATCAGCAAAAAAGTGTCACGTTGACAAAAGACAAAATAGTTCACTACTTTAGCCCCACACCGGTGTGTTGAAGCGTGAAACCACAACATTTACAAATATTTTTTTATTTAAGACCGGGAGCCAGAGCAGAGCCTCACCATTCTGGCGAATTGCCCGATGATGCTGGATGCAGTTACCAGCGAAACGTCACAGTACTCAACAATTGTAAATGTTGTGGTATAGTGTATAGTAGTGTAGTATATATAAGTGTATAGTGTAGTGTATAGTAATGTACTGTATAGTATAGGGTAGTATATAGTCGTGTATTGGATAGTAGTGTAAAGTGTATAGTGTAGTGTATAGTAGTGTATATTACTATAGTGAATATAGCAGTGTATAGTGTAGTGTATAGCAGTGGAGTGTATAGTGTATTGTATAGTGTAGTATATAGTAGTGTAGTGGATAGTAGTGTAAAGTGTATAGTGTAGTGAAAAGCAGTGGAGTGTATAGTAGTGTATTGTATAGTAGTGTACTGTATAGTATAGTGTATAGTAGTGTAGTAAATATAAGTGTTTAGAGTAGTGTATAGTAGTGTAAAGTGTATATTACTATAGTGTAGTATATAGTAGTGTAGTGGATACCAGTGTAGTGTATAGTAGCGTACTGTATAGTACAGTGTAGTATATATGTGTATAGTGTAGAATATTGAAATGTATAGTGTATTGTATAGTGGAGTGTATAGTAGTGTAGTGTAGTATATATAAGTGTATAGTAGTGTAGTGTATAGTAGTGTATTGTATAGCTTTGTAGTGTATAGTATAGTGTATTGTATAGTAGTGTACTGTATAGTATAGTAGATATAAGTGTTTAGTGTAGTATATAGTAGTGGAGTGTATAGTAGTGTAGTGTACATTACTATAGTGTATAGCAGTGTATAGTAGTGTATACCAATGTAGTGTATTGTATCGTGCAGTGTATAGTAGTGTACTGTATAGTACAGTGTAGTATATATGTGTATAGTGTAGTATATAGAAGTGTATTGTATAGTAGAGTGTCCAGTAGTATAGCATATAGTTGTGTATAGTGTAGTACGTAGTGTAGTACTGCACATCCTGTATACCAGGCGAGGTAGTTAACATTTCCCAGCCACCGTGATGATGATGGTGGTGTAACCCACGACCTCCTGTATACCAGGCGAGGTAGTTAACATTTCCCAGCCACCGTGATGATGGTGGTGTAACCCACGACCTCCTGTATACCAGGCGAGGTAGTTAACATTTCCCAGCCACCGTGATGATTATGGTGTAACCCACGACCTCCTGTACACCAGGCGAGGTAGTTAACATCTCAATTACCAAGGCGTCAACACCAACGAAGGCCCAGACGACCACCAAACCTCAGGGTCGTTGAAATAGCAGCAGCAGAACTCATCCGCAAGTTGTGGAGACCTGCAGAGACCCACACAGCGAGTTGGCACAGCAGGGGCCCACAATGTGGTGGTAGCATCAGCCACTGTCTCAGTCAGTTGACACGTAACACCTGCTGGGTCTGCCCCGTGACCTCCTCCTGCCACGTGGTAGCCTCAAAGTGCACATGGCCTGGCACAAGCGTCGTGGTGACGTCACCGCCACTTAGTGGCGAATGGCGGTTGTTGTTGTGTGTGTGAGTGTTAAACTGTGAGTGTGTGTACACGTGTTGTACCGTAGCAAGGCTCTGCAGGTCACCTTAGATGCACCCAAGCTCACGGGCCCACAGGGGGCAGCAGAGTTCCTATGACCACTGTTTCATTGCTTTAATGGCTTTATTTTGGTGATTTTTGAAAAGTTTTTCGGTTTGGCCATGTTTGTTTGTTGTAGTACAGAGTTAGACTGATGGCCTTAATCTAAGTTGTCTTGTGGTTGTTGTTGTTGTTGTTTGACTTGCATCCCACTGGGATTTTTGCACACAGCATTGGTGTATGGTGCTTTTTCTGCAATATTTTGCTGTCTTTTCTTGGATTTTCTGTTTGCACTTAGTCACATAGTCACTTTAAGATGTTTTCTTGTTCATGTTTTTGTTTTTTTGTTTGTTGCGGTTGCACCCGATTCAAGAGCCGAATGGCTCACAGGGCTATACCTAATACATGAAAACTTGAAACTTGAGGCGTGTGGGGGTTGACCGAAGGTGACCACCCCCCCGCCTCTTACACTGGTCAACGTGTGTCCACACTAGGACCTTCAAGTTCATGTTCATGTATTAGGTGTGGCCCTGTGAGCCATTTGGCTCTTGAATCGGGTGCAACCTCAACAAACAAAAAACAAAAACATGAACAAAAACATCTTAAAGTGAATATGTGACTGAGTGCAAACAGAAAATCCAAGAAAAGACAGCAAAATATTGCAGAAAAAGCACCGTTACACCAACGCTGTGTGCAAAAATCCCAGTGGGATGCAATTCAAACAACAACAACAACAACCACAAGACAACTTAGATTAAGGCCATCAGTCTAACTCTGTACTACAACAAACAAACATGGCCAAACCAAAAAACTTTTCGAAAATCACCAAAATCAAGCCATAAAAGCAATGAAACAGTGATCATAGGAACTGTGACCGAATTTTCACAATAAACGACGTAAACAACATGTACCACCAGAACCCTGCAGCCATAGCTGGCTGCATGAGTCACTCCACAACAGCAGGAGCATCAGTCGGAGTATCAACATTTTTCAATGCACCTTTAAGATCAGCGCACTAAATCAAAACACAGATCATACTTCATGTAAGCTGACGTGCGCAGCGATCGCTGTCGTGGTGGAGTTGATCGTATTTTACTGGGATAATCCCTTTTGACTCCACACCAAGCTGTCTTTTTGTGCCATGTATAAGGTGCTACATTCGTGAACGAATGCAATGAAAATCAGGTTGATTCACGAGAACAGCATGTTCTTTTTCTGCCATAACAGAGAAAGAATGTATATATAACGTGACATTTTGGCAGACTGGCCCAACTTTATTTATGCCCATAGGATAATGAAAGATAATGCATAAGAATAGGGTAAATCTATTCTTATATTTTCACACACACTCACACAGACCCACAGACTCACAGAGACCCACAGACTCACAGAGACCCAGGTCACGTGACTGACCCCTTCGCCCCGCCCCCTTTCATCTTCTCTCCCCCGAGCCCCGCCCCCTGGCCACGCCTCCTGCGTCACGTGTCCACGGGCCCTGACATCCGGGGCCCTGACATCCGGGGCCCTGACATCCACATCCGGGCCTCGCCTGAGCCAACACGTGCGCAGCCTGGGCCCTTCTTCCCGCCACTTCTCCGTCGACTGCCTGCAGAGGGGTCAAAGGGTAAAGGTGTCTGTGTGCCGAGGGGTGAGGTCAAAGGTCGGGTAAAGGTCAGCTTGTTTTGACCTTGCCTTGCCTACTGGCCATGTGCTAATCCTAAGAGACGCTGCTCAACAATGACAGGATTCTGTGAGGTTTGCGTTGCGTTTGTTATCGTGTAGAGGGTGAACGCCACAGGTAGCCAGGGCTCGCCTTGTTCAAACCCCCTTTTAGTCTGTCCCCAACTCTCACGTGAAGAGAATCTGTGCTAGAAACCATGACATTGTTACGTGTAATGCGGCATTTCTTCCTAAATTGCAAGCCGCGTTAATTACACTGGTCAACAACAACAAAAACATGTTTTTCTGGCCTGGACTGTTGCAGCTGTTCTAGGCTAATTTCAGGGTGCCGATTCTAAATCTGATCTCAGATTTGCTCTATCACGTCTATTTTTTATGCTATCGGCATACCCCATTTTCATTGATTTTACCCGAAATTAACTCTGTCACTTATGATTGCAAGTTGTTGCGAGTCAGTGACTGCTTTAGTGTTAAAATACGGTGCTGTATTTTTAGGAGAGTGTGCATATAATATCATTTTATGTAGATATCCACATTTATTTAATATTTTTATTCTGCCGTTTTTATTGAAAATGCAATATTTGATAATATCTCAAAAACCTGATGTGATGGACAAAAACTGATGCCAGATTTGGAATCATCAGCACCCCAAAATGACCTTAACACCGTTGGAATACCTTATGCCACAAAAAGTGTGTTGACCAGTGTTATGTATGCAATGTTAGTGTGCTGATGTCAACGTAGCCTTTGACCAGATCACTCACAATGCACGCAGCCTTTTCCGATTTTGTAAGCTAAGCAGGGTTTGTGTCAGAAGTGCTTTGGATGGGTTGACCACCACCACCACGTGCAGTATAAAGGTGCTGTGGGCGTTGTAGACAGCAGTTGGCAGTGCAGAAACCCCTATTGGTGTACTGCACTCCCCACCACCACCTCCACCACAAACCCCACTGACCAGCGTGGTGAAGTATAGTCAAATATCGCTCTTGACCCGACCCACAAGACGTGTGCGGAGGTCATCATCCAGCAGTGGAATTATTCAAGCGGACTGTACATGTATGATGCGAGAGTTCCTATACATGTACACGCGTGTGCGTACACATGTATCGGCAGTGTGACAAGATGACATCACCTCTTTTCACGACCCTGAGTCACATTCCCCTGGGGGTCATTAAATAGGGCAATCAGTCACGGACGCCAGTGCAGATAATAAGATGGTGCCATTGTCTATGATCATGACGCTCAGAGGAGGAACGCTATCGAGATGTAATTGTATAACAACAGCTCTTTAGTAGTAGGTTTTTACCCTTTAAACTGGTACAAAAACTTGACACCTTTATACAAGGCATCATGTTTGCAATAACCACAACACAAGCAGTCAAAATGCAAACAAAAAGAAACAACTCTGATGATGATAATGATATGCACTGTCCTTGATGTTGATTGGTCCACACCCCAGACAGCTTTTCTTAGAGCCTAGTCTCGATTGGTGTTGGTTTCCTTTAAATAATCTTTGCTTTGCAGGTGTGCTTGGACGTGGGAAACACAACGCGAGAACGAGATGGACGTCAGCTGCCACCACAACGAGACGATCGCATTCTTCTACCGCAACAGCAACAAGCCGCTCTACGACGAGTGGTCCTTCACCAGCACGCTGGTCATGGTGCTCGGCCTGACCTTGTGCCTCGGCATCATTCTGGCCAACGCCCTCGTCATGTTCGCCGTGTACATCAACAAGACACTCCACCACCCCGTCTAGAATAGGGTAAATCTATTCTTATATTTTCACACACACTCACACAGACCCACAGACTCACAGAGACCCACAGACTCACAGAGACCCAGGTCACGTGACTGACCCCTTCGCCCCGCCCCCTTTCATCTTCTCTCCCCCGAGCCCCGCCCCCTGGCCACGCCTCCTGCGTCACGTGTCCACGGGCCCTGACATCCGGGGCCCTGACATCCGGGGCCCTGACATCCACATCCGGGCCTCGCCTGAGCCAACACGTGCGCAGCCTGGGCCCTTCTTCCCGCCACTTCTCCGTCGACTGCCTGCAGAGGGGTCAAAGGGTAAAGGTGTCTGTGTGCCGAGGGGTGAGGTCAAAGGTCGGGTAAAGGTCAGCTTGTTTTGACCTTGCCTTGCCTACTGGCCATGTGCTAATCCTAAGAGACGCTGCTCAACAATGACAGGATTCTGTGAGGTTTGCGTTGCGTTTGTTATCGTGTAGAGGGTGAACGCCACAGGTAGCCAGGGCTCGCCTTGTTCAAACCCCCTTTTAGTCTGTCCCCAACTCTCACGTGAAGAGAATCTGTGCTAGAAACCATGACATTGTTACGTGTAATGCGGCATTTCTTCCTAAATTGCAAGCCGCGTTAATTACACTGGTCAACAACAACAAAAACATGTTTTTCTGGCCTGGACTGTTGCAGCTGTTCTAGGCTAATTTCAGGGTGCCGATTCTAAATCTGATCTCAGATTTGCTCTATCACGTCTATTTTTTATGCTATCGGCATACCCCATTTTCATTGATTTTACCCGAAATTAACTCTGTCACTTATGATTGCAAGTTGTTGCGAGTCAGTGACTGCTTTAGTGTTAAAATACGGTGCTGTATTTTTAGGAGAGTGTGCATATAATATCATTTTATGTAGATATCCACATTTATTTAATATTTTTATTCTGCCGTTTTTATTGAAAATGCAATATTTGATAATATCTCAAAAACCTGATGTGATGGACAAAAACTGATGCCAGATTTGGAATCATCAGCACCCCAAAATGACCTTAACACCGTTGGAATACCTTATGCCACAAAAAGTGTGTTGACCAGTGTTATGTATGCAATGTTAGTGTGCTGATGTCAACGTAGCCTTTGACCAGATCACTCACAATGCACGCAGCCTTTTCCGATTTTGTAAGCTAAGCAGGGTTTGTGTCAGAAGTGCTTTGGATGGGTTGACCACCACCACCACGTGCAGTATAAAGGTGCTGTGGGCGTTGTAGACAGCAGTTGGCAGTGCAGAAACCCCTATTGGTGTACTGCACTCCCCACCACCACCTCCACCACAAACCCCACTGACCAGCGTGGTGAAGTATAGTCAAATATCGCTCTTGACCCGACCCACAAGACGTGTGCGGAGGTCATCATCCAGCAGTGGAATTATTCAAGCGGACTGTACATGTATGATGCGAGAGTTCCTATACATGTACACGCGTGTGCGTACACATGTATCGGCAGTGTGACAAGATGACATCACCTCTTTTCACGACCCTGAGTCACATTCCCCTGGGGGTCATTAAATAGGGCAATCAGTCACGGACGCCAGTGCAGATAATAAGATGGTGCCATTGTCTATGATCATGACGCTCAGAGGAGGAACGCTATCGAGATGTAATTGTATAACAACAGCTCTTTAGTAGTAGGTTTTTACCCTTTAAACTGGTACAAAAACTTGACACCTTTATACAAGGCATCATGTTTGCAATAACCACAACACAAGCAGTCAAAATGCAAACAAAAAGAAACAACTCTGATGATGATAATGATATGCACTGTCCTTGATGTTGATTGGTCCACACCCCAGACAGCTTTTCTTAGAGCCTAGTCTCGATTGGTGTTGGTTTCCTTTAAATAATCTTTGCTTTGCAGGTGTGCTTGGACGTGGGAAACACAACGCGAGAACGAGATGGACGTCAGCTGCCACCACAACGAGACGATCGCATTCTTCTACCGCAACAGCAACAAGCCGCTCTACGACGAGTGGTCCTTCACCAGCACGCTGGTCATGGTGCTCGGCCTGACCTTGTGCCTCGGCATCATTCTGGCCAACGCCCTCGTCATGTTCGCCGTGTACATCAACAAGACACTCCACCACCCCGTCTACTTTCTCATGGCCAACCTGGCCGCGGCGGATTTCTTTGCCGGAGTGGCGTACATCTACCTGGTTGTCAACACGGGGCCCAACACTCGCAAGCTGTCGCTGGAGACCTGGATGCTGCGCCAGGGGCTGATCAACACGAGCCTCACCGCCTCCGTCGCCAGCCTCCTGGTCATCGCCATCGAGCGCCACGTCGCGCTGTTCCGGATGCAGCGGATGAGCGAGCGGCGCGTCGTGACGGTCGTCGCGATCATCTGGCTCGTGGCCATCATCGCCGGCGCCATGCCCACCATGGGCTGGAACTGCGTCTGCGACGTCGGCACGTGCTCCACCATGGCGCCGCTGTACAGCGCCAGCTACGTCGCCTTCTGGGCCGGCTACAACCTCTCCATGTTCCTCATCATGGCGGGGCTCTACGGCCACATCTTCGTGAACATGTGGAGGGACAGGATACCCGTGCTGCAGAATAGCTCCAGGTGCTCCCGGAGGCAAGACGCCCCCGTGAGCTTGCTCGTAACGGTCACCATCATGTTGGGTAAGCGTTGTGGGTCTGTCTGGGCAGAACATTCGACAACACGATTCACGATAATTGTTTTTTTACCCTTCTATCTGGCAACAAAACTGACACCTTTTTTACAAGGAGTCACGTTTGCATAGACCACAATACCTGCAGTCATAATGCAAACAAAAAACATAACTCTGATAATGTACGCACTGTCCTTGAAGTTGATTGGTCCACACCCGAGACACCTTTCCTTAGAGCCTAGTCTCACATGGTGTTGGACCAGATGACGCCAAAAGGCGCACAACTGTTTTTTTGTTTGCATTACGACTGCAGGTATTGTGGTCTATGCAAACATGACTCCTCGTAAAAAAAGGTGTCAGTTTTGTTGCCAGATAAAAGGGTAAAAAAAAAGCAATTATCAAGGCTGGTCTTGTTCCACGCGTCGCTGCCAAAAATGGCTCGTGCCGTCTCTCCCAGGAGCCTTTATTGTGTGCTGGACGCCGGGCCTGGTGATTCTGCTGCTGGATTCCTTCTGCTCGGACTGCAACGTCCTGGCCTTCGAGAAGTACTTCTTGCTCATAGCGGAGCTCAACTCCGCCATGAACCCCATCATCTACTCGTTTCGGGACACGGAGATGATCGCCACTTTCAAGCGCATCCTGAGCTGCCGAAAGGCGGGATGCGTCGCAGCGAGCGGCTCCGAAAAATCAATTTCCACGTCGAATCCCAACCTGGTTACGGAGATCGGTCACGTGACCACCGCGAGTGCGATGAAGATGAATCAGATTGTCATCTAATATCTAATTGGGCTAACCATGCATGTTTTGATAATTGTTCTTTTACCCTTCTATCTGGCAACAAAACTGACACCTTTTTTTTACAAGGAGTCATGTTTGCATAGACCACAATACCTGCAGTCATAATACAAACAAAAGAGTACACGAGCTTGGAGCATGTATATAAGCTGGGTGCCTTGACAAAGGAATTTGCATATCAAGAGGAATTTAGCATATTTATGGGAAATGCAGGAATGTGATTAGTACTACTTATGCCTGTGCATTATGCAGGATTAGCAGCATCAAAGGGAGAGAATATGGGAAATGCAGGTATGTGATTAGTACTACTTATGCCTGTGCATTATGCAGGATTAGCAGCATCAAAGGGAGAGGATATGGGAAATGCAGGTATGTGAATAGTACTAATTCAGCATCAAAGGGACAGACCTGGTTTTCACCTGAGGACGGCTGCTTGCGTTGTGGCCGAAACGTCGTGAGAATTATTTGATTATGTTTTATTTTTATTATTTTATTATTTCCCTTCTACGTGATTTTACCGAAAGAACCAAGAAGATGAATCCCTGCAGTCACGAAAGCTTTAAATCGAAAAATAAAACAAACAAAAACATAACTCTGATAATGTATGCACTGTCCTTGAAGTAGATTGGTCCACATCTGAGACAGCTTTCCTTAGAGCCTAGTCTCACATGGGTGTGGACCAATCAACTTCAAGGACTGCACACATTATCAGAGTTGTGTTTTTTGTTTGCATTATGACTGCAGGTATTGCGGTCTATGCAAACATGACTCCTTGTAAAAAAGGTGTCAGTTTTGTTGCCAGATAGAAGGGTAAAAAACCAATTATATTTTTTACTGGCAAATGAGGTTCCAGTGGTGATGCATGTTTTACTCGGAAGCTTGTTGTTTCAAAGATATGTTTTACACAAGTCACATTTAACTTGGTGTTTCTTGAATAGGGTTTTACTGGAGGATGCGTTGTTTTTCGTTGGTTCTCTTCCTGTTCAAATGACGGCTGCCCCCCAGCACACACGAACTCGTGTTCACGTGGCCCCCCTTGCGAGCGTCCGTGTTAACGTGGCTGTGTGTGTGTGTGTCCTTCAGGGACATTGTAAACAAAAATCTCGTATTTTGAAAAGCGTCGCTCAATATTTCTGTATTTATTTTTCTTTTTTATTTATTTTGGGGGCCTTTAAACGCTTGTTCAGAATTTTGTTCCGAGCCCATTTTGCGTTGCGTTTTCTTTTGAGCAAGGCAATCGTCTTGTGTGAGAATACTGCCTCCGTTGTGAGAGAAGTCGGTTGTTTTGTGGTGATTATTGTGTAATTATTGCGGCAGTTGCTTTTAGAAAACCGGTGGTTTATTTTTGTCTACAAACAAGATGCTGGACCAGCAGGCAGGGTTGATTGGAAATGACCGCTCGTTTTTCCATCTTTGTTCTCACTTCACATTGGCAGCAATCACAAAGGCTCCGTGAACGTTGTTAAGCTACGAGCATTGTGTAACCTTCACGTGGTTCTCGTGACGAAATGGCAAAATGTAACTTTCTTGCACTGTACAAATGTTGGGAGATGTGGGTTTCGTCGTAAAGAGAGTTACAGCACCGTTATTTTGCCGTTAACATTCACTTTTAATCTTTAACGACGGCCACATTTCCACAGTGCAGTGATCGTACTGAGATGTGGGCGCGGTCCCGCCAGTCATCGATGTATCCACACAGCGCAGATTCTACTGGCTGCCAGGAAGGCCACAATGACATTACAATGTGATACTGGTAGGAACCACCTGGTTCCACCAGCCCACAGGGGATTATTGTGTCTGTCCGTCCGTCGTGCATCCAAAAATGGGAGGGGTGGGGCTGGGTTGAGAGGGGAGGGTGGGGAGGGGCTAGGTGGGGTGGGGCTGGTGGGAGGGGTGGGGCTGGGTGGGGAGGGGCTGGGTGGTTAGGGGCTGGATGGGGGGGTGGGAGGGGTGGGGCTGGGTGGAGAGGGGAGGGTGGGTAGGGGCTGGGTGGGGAGGGGCTGGGTGGGTAGGGGCTTGATGGGGGGGTGGGTGGAGAGGGGTGGGAGGGGTGGGGAGGGGCTGGTCACCCCGTGGTGCCCTTATAAAACTCAACGTTTAACCTACTCACGCCGGCTTGTGCCCGCCCTCACAGTCGGGCATATTTGCGGAATACACCACGCCGCCGTTGACCCTGCAGGCCATTGAGCGAGCAACCCAACGTTCCTACCAGCTCCCTCCGCAGCAGGAATGTGTTTGAGAGCAAGTCATAGTAATCGCCCACATCGAATTGTTCATGCTGTTGAGAGCTGGGCTGCTGTGCGCTTTGGTATCGCAAGTTATAAGATTACAAGACCCCGCGATGAAAACTTTGCGGTTGGGAAATGGCAAAGGAGAGAACGGCACTCCCCACCATTACCTTGAGGGAAGTTTTAGCTGTGTTGAAATCTCGGCAAAAAAAATGTTTTAACATTATCATCAGTCTGGTTCCCAGATAATTGAGTTGGTGTTTCTGTGCGGTATGAGCGCCAACTGTTTAAAGGACTGAGTTGCAAAAAAAGTCTTCATGAATTAGTTTTTGGCAGAGCGACGTTTCTCTCTGCGATGAGATATTAAACCTGGTTACAATGTGTATGTGTGTGTCTTCAAGAATTAGTTTTGGCAGAGCGACGTTTCTCTCTGCAATGAGATCTCATTAAACCTGGGTACAATGTGTGTGTGTGTGTGTCTTCAAGAATTCGTTTTTGGCAGAGCGGCGTTTCTCTCTGCGATAAGATATCATTAAACCTGGGTACAATGTGTGTGTGTGTCTTCAAGAATTAGTTTTTGGCAGAGCGGCGTTTCTCTCTGCGATGAGATATTATTAAACCTGGGTACAATGTGTGTGTGTGTGTCTTCAAGAATTAGTTTTTGGCAGAGCGACGTTTCTCTCTGCAATGGGATATCATTAAACCTGGTTACAATGTGTGTGTGTGTCTTCAAGAATTAGTTTTTGGCAGAGCGACGTTTCTCTCTGCGATGAAATATCATTAAACCTGGGTACAATGTGTGTGTGTGTCTTCAAGAATTCGTTTTTGGCAGAGCGGCGTTTCTCTCTGCGATGAGATCTCATTAAACCTGGGTACAATGTGTGTGTGTGTGTCTTCAAGAATGAGTTTTTGGGAGAGCGGCGTTTCTCTCTGCCATGAGATATCATTAAACCTGGGTACAATGTGTTTGTGTGTGTCTTCCAGAATTAGTTTTTGCAGAGCGACGTTTCTCTCTGCGATGAGATCTCATTAAACCTGGGTACAATGTGTGTGTGTGTGTGCACGCTTGTGGAGGTAATGCATACTAGAATAATAAAAAAACTAGTGGCATTCATGGATAAAGTTGGTGGCAAAAGCTTCCTACTGCTACCACGTGTTCAAGTGTTTATACATTTCGTATATTTTGATGGTAAAGTTTATTTGACGTCTGTTGCGGTTGTGCAGATGCCGAACATTAAAACATTAATAACGGATATGAATTACCGAGTCTGTGGTTTTTTCGAATGTGAGCACCTGCTGTCCAGTGTCCCGTGAATTGCACGCATGGTCATGAACCTTTGTCAGTGTAGAGATGTGTAGATAATTACCAAAATGTTGACCGATGAAGTGTTACTATAGAAATCTTGGTGAACCACAACTAAGAGTGGATGATGAAAGTTCAGTAAAACCTTGGATTGCGAGTCACTTGGTCTGCGAGTGTTTTGCAAGACGAGCAATTTTTTTAAAACAAATATTAATTTGATAAACGAGTGAGGTCTTGCTATACGAGTAGTACGTTCTGTCTGCCGAGCGTCACGTGATCACAACTGATATACGAGTGCTTTGATATACGAGTGCTTTGGATTACAAACACGTTTCCGGAACGAATTATGCTCGCAATCCAAGGTTTTACTGTAACTCAATATGATTGACCGTGACGAAACCCACCAATGATCAAATGATGTCCACTTCGATGAGATTGTCTGATTAAAGGTAATACGATCATTGAGTAAGTTGCAATGCAGATAAATAAACATGATCAATGGTACTATTGTGGAGCTAGATTTGAAGCTTTCGTGACTGCAATGATTCATATTCTTAGGTTATTTCGGTAAAGTCACCGTGTAGGTAAAAACATTAAAAAATAAAATAAAAATCACGACGTTTCGGAGGCAACACAAGCTTCCGTCTTCAGGTGGTACCGTCACAGCCACGACAGCTGTATCAAGTACATGAGAGATTGCAGGAGCTACCACCATTATATAAACGGAGTGGTAGCTCCTGCAATCTCTCATTTACTTGATACAGCTGTCGTGGCTGTGACGGTTCCACCTGAAGACGGAAGCTTGTGTTGCCTCCGAAACGTCGTGATTTTTATTTTATTTTACTTTTTAATGTTTTTACCTACACAGTGACTTTACCGAAAAAACCTAAGAATATTGTGGAGCTATTTAAATATATATTTACTCTGCTTGACTGCCCTGATAATATTTGTGGGGGGAGGGGGGCTGGGGAGTTGCATTGCCCAACTTTTAAGTAGCCCAGTGCCAAAGAGTGTAGTGCTCGAATCGCCTCCACCCAGAGAATGACTCCAGAGAGAATCCAGGAAGAATAAGTATAACCCGTAAAAACAAAGTTTTTCACTATAAATCCTTTATATACGTGGCGGCTAGAGTCCTCTCGTCCTCTGGCTTGAGATGGCTGCCACCTATGGGTCAGATGATTGTCTGCCAGTATTAAGCAATTGGTAATTAAATATTTAATTTGTTTTCCCTAAACAGTGTAAAATTTTGGAAAAAAATGTTCACGAACATTAATTGTCTCGCACAACGAGTCTGTGTGCAAAATGTCAGCTCGATTGGATCACGGGAAATGGGTTAAAAAACGACCGAAAGATTTGCACGGTCGTAAGCACGCAAGCAAGCGAACTTAATATAAAGGATTTAAAAAGGAGCGGGGAAGTTGCCGAGGCACTTCTGAATCGGTCCTGGTTGTCCTCTTGCATCAACCCACACTGACCAGTCTGGTGAAGTATGGTGAAACAACCCCTATGATGACCA